TGGGAGGGGAGGAGGAGGAGGAGGAGGAGGAGGTGGTGACAGAGCGGGTTTATGCTTTGGCAGGAAAAAAAAAAAAAAAAAGTGTGGGGAAGAGATAACTAATCTGCTCTAAGACTCCATACCAAATGTACTCAGGAACTCACTGGACTCTTAGAAATCCACTGCCTGTGGTTTATGAGGCAGAGTTACGCATCTGCGATTCAAAGTAGGGTATTTCAATCCAGCCTGCAGGATTTGTATGCAGGATTCATTTCCCATTTCATGTTTGATCAAATATACTGTACTATGTAAGAGAATTCTTACCTACCTGCATTAACATGTAGTAGATTCCAGCCATGCCATGGGCTGCTCCAACGTACTGCTTCCGGTGCCACTGGTACAGCAGTGGGCAGCGCTCCGTTTTTCTTTCTTCCCTTGACAAAGTCTTACCCGACTCAATAATAGCATTGACTACCTACAGAGAGAACGAGACAGCATAAATCTAAAACTGTATATGTACCCTGTTGTAGTTCAATTAACAGTATGTCATATATATATATGACATATACATAGAGAGAGAGAGGCAGAAAACTTAATCTAAAAGTCTTTAAGCAGTTAGCAGCTAACATACTTATATTTCTTTTATAAATTAATAAATGCAGGCAGAAAGAAATCAGGAGCCAATGTTAGAGTAGGAAAAGATAGTTAAGTCTAAGAAATAAAAAATTCTTTGTATAAAAAGTCAACCAAAAATCTAGAAAAACGTCTTATAAAAACTGTTTTGGATTTCTTAGTTGCTCCATAGCTGCAGTGCTTTTCCCAAAAGAGCAGCACATACACCTATCAGAAAAGGCTGGAGGAACTGGCTTTATTTATGAAAGACTAATGATATGAGGTCTGCTCTGGCATGAAGGATTTCAGCTAGATCAAAAGCATAGCATGTCTGGAATGATGGTTTCCTCACGTCTATCTCCTCTCATCCTTTTTGGGAAAGTATTCCAAGTTTTAGCTGGGCATCTGGCCCCCTAGTTACAGACAGCTGAACACAGACACTTAATGAAGTTCTGGCACTGGGATGGGAGCAGAAGTAAAGTGGGCAACTTGGAAACCGAGTCCCTAACAAGGAAGCTGTGTCACCTCCACCTCCTCTTTCCCCTTCATAGGTTGAGGGGCTAAACTAGCTTTGGTCCTGCAAATAAGGGTATGCCTCTAGGATAAGGCAGAATGAGACATAAGAAGTTGGTCCCCACTCGTACCAGCCTGAAATGCTTACCAGCTCAGACATCTCATGAAAGATAAATAAACATTCTAACTCTCTAAAGCCGCTGTTGTTTAGCTCCAGTAAAAACAGATGAATTAATAAAAGATGAAAGAGAGTACAGGTTTTTTTTGTTAATGTTCCTAGAAAAAAATAGGGGCTATTTCTTACTTTTGATGAGTACTTAAAAAAGTACTTCTGAAGAAATACTTCAGTATTTCTTACTTTAAAAAGTAATGCTACCTAGAAACAGAGTCCAGCTATTAATACAACTCAATGCTAGCAAACAGGTTTGAATGGTAGAGATGCCCATAGTTGCCCATATCCCACAGTACCTCTTTAATAGCTGACTCACACACGGTGCCTGGACCTATCTCCGTGTTCAGGTACAGTAAAGCATACAGATAACCTGCCCGTCCATAAAGCAGCTCATCAGGAAGGTCTGATTCTTGGCAGACAACCGCTCTCTGGAGTTGCAAAAGTCTAACCAATAAGAAAAATTAATTTTTTCCCAGAGGAATTCTAAAGTACTTCTTCATGAAACACTAAACCTGTTGCTTTAGGAATTACCTGTTATTTATTTTAAATTTAAAACTATGATTTTTAAAAATATTCCCAAATCCAGAACACAACAAAAATGTCTCCAGTTCACTAGTCTCCTTTTGAATGTCAAAATTAAAAATAAAACATCTTTCTGTTAATTTCTACCTTTACATCTATTTTAAACCATAAAATTTTATTTTGAAATCCAGAAGTACAAGAAAGTGATTTAAAATTTAAATAAAAATGGTACTGCAGGCCAGGCACGGTGGCTCATGCCTATAATCCCAGCACTTTGGGAGGCTGAGGCAGGTGGGTCACCTGAGGTCAGGAGTTCAAGCCCAGCCTAACATGGTGAAATCCCATCTCTACTAAAAATACAAAATTAGCTGGGTGTGGTGGCACATGCCTGTAATCCCAGCTACTTTGGCGGCTGAGGCAGGAGAATCCCTTGAACCCAGGAGGCGGAGGTTGCAGTGAGCTGAGATTGCACCATTGCATTCTAGCCTGGGCAACAGGATCGAAATTCCATCTCAAAAAAAAAAAAAAAATGGTACTGCAATGTCACCAATACTTGGGAATTAGATTGTCGTTCTCTCTTTATTTTTTTCTTTCTTTTTCTTTAGAGACAGGGTCTTGCTCTGTTGCCCAGGCTGGTGTACAGTGGCAGGATGGTGGCTCACCGCAGCCTTGAACTCCTGAGCTCAAGTGATCCTCCTGCCTCAGCCTCCCAAGCTAATGGAACTACAAGCGCATGCTGCCATACTCAGCGTCACCCTGTCTTTCAACAAACATTAACTGGCTAGCACATGCCAGATACTCTACCAGACCCTAGGAATGAGCCATGATTTCTGCTTCTTCAAGAAAGAATATAAACCAATAGGTGCAATAAAAGCTTACTTTCCCTAATTGTTCCATCATTAGCATATCTAATCAGTTACTTAAGGGTTGAACCTAAGATCGGTTTAGTTATTACGGTGAATCTAAAGCATGTAAGCTAATTTTCATGCATTGAAGAAAACTAAAAATTGCTTAGGAAAGATGGTTAAAATCAAGAAATATATTTATTTCTCCCAAAATTAAGGCACACACATGCTTGCATAAAAAGAGGGCATATGATCCCACCACTATGCTCAAGATTAACAGTTTGGCACGATCTGTTTACAGCAATGGATGAAATTAAAAACAGTTTCCTTTTTGAATCTTTCTACAGCAAGAGCTTTCACTGGCAATTGGGAGAAAATGTTTCCAGTTCTAAAACTCACTTTGTGATGCATTCCTGGGATTCACAGTCACTTCTGAGTTTGTGGTAAATCACAGCTCCAACAGCCAGAGGCCCGGCATCCCCACAGAGGAAGGTGACCCTCCGGCCATTCAGATTCCGAAGTGTTCTTTTTACGTAATCCAGGGATCGGAGCAGGTAGGTTTGGTCACATGTGACCCGGTACAACTGCAGGTACAAAAGGGCTATGCCTGGAATAATTTCCCACCCCAAAAGAAAAGCATTATTATCTTTTCCTTTTATCTTTAGGACATTATTTGTAATTACATGAAATACCTTCTACATAAATCTATGTTTCCAAAGGGGTGACAAAACAATACATATCATACATTTCTTTTGTTTGTTTGTTTGTTTCTTGTTTGTTTGAGACAGAGTCTTGCTCTGTCACCCAGGCTGGAGTGCAGTGGTGCAATCTCGGCTCACTGTAAGCTCCGCCTTCCGGGTTCACACCATTCTCCTGACTCAGCCTCCCGAGTAGCCAGGACTACAGGTGCCCGCCACCACGTCCGGCCAATTTTTTTGTACTTTTAGTAGAGACGGGTTTTCACTGTGTTAGCCAGGATGGTCTCAATCTCTTGACCTCATGATCTGCCCGCCTTGGCCTCCCAAAGTGCTGGGATTACAGGCATGAGCCACTGCACCCGGCCCCCATATCATACATTTCTGAAAGATGAATAAACAAAACAAAACCAAGACAGAGAAATTAGGGATGAAAGAACAGAAACCAAGTTTGTACATGTTAGCTTGGTGCTTGTTCTGGCATAGTGATGTAATACCTCTTATTCACAGACAAGAGAAGATACATCACTTCCTACTCATCCTCAGTTAATTTTCATTCATTCCAAAGTTGTATTCATTCTTCCTTGTAGATCCTAACATGGATCCTCTTCTTTTTACTTCTCATAAAATCATTTCTCTTATGTTATCCCAAATGATTGTTTTTCTGAACTTTATACTCTCTTCTTCCTTTTTTTTTTCCTATTGTTCCCAATTTTTCTTTCTTTTTTTTTTTTTTTCTGAGACGGAGTCTCGTTCTGTCACCCAGGCTGGAGTACAGTGGCCTGATCTCCGCTCACTGCAAGCTCCGCCTCCCAGGTTCACGCCATTCTCCCGCCTCAGCCTCCTGAATAGCTGGGACTACAGGCGCCCACCACCACGCCCGGCTAATTTTTTGTAATTTTAGTAGAGATGGGATTTTACTGTGTTAGCCAGGATGGTCTCAATCTCCTGACCTCGTGATCCGCCGGCCTCAGCCTCCCAAAGTGCTGGGATTACAGGTGTAAGCCACGGTGCCCGGCCTATTTTTCCCAGTTTTTCAATGTTCTTTAGTGAACAACCCTACAACTGACCAACCAACTGGTGAGTGAACTCGCCATTTCTGGAGCAGCCACACAGTACAAAGTAAGGCGACCAGCGCGTGTGTTCATCACCCACCAACCTTTCCATTTTGGATAAAGAACAGACTCAGACCTTCAAATGAATCTGAGAATCTCCAGAGAACGGCCTGTATGGCTTCTTAAAGAAGCATGTTCGTATATCTGGGTTTGAGAAGACAATATGACAGCTAAGTTAAAAAAAAAAAAAGAATCAGCATAAATATGTATTTACTAAAGTCTTTTATAGGAACAAGTATTGGCAGACATGACATGCTAGTGAAAAGGCCAAATGAAACATTTCTTTCATGTTTAAGTTGAGGTTCTTCAATATTCTAGTCTTTGTCTAATATCCTACTCTGATTTTTATTATTTTTCATTTTGCTGCTTTTTTTTTTTGAGACACAGTCTCACTCTGTTGCCCAGGCTGGAGTGCAGTGGCGCAATCTTGGCTCAATGCAACCTCTGCCTCCCGAGTTCAAGTGATTCTCCTCCCTCAGCCTCCTGAGTAGCTGGGATTACAGGCGTGCGCCACTATACCCGGCTAATTTTTGTATTTTCAGTAGAGACAGGTTTTCACCGTGTTGGTCAGGCTGGTCTCGAACTTCTGACCTCGTGATCCGCCCACCTCGGCCTCCCAAAGTGCTAGGATTAACAGGTGTGAGCCACTGTGCCCAGCTTCATTTTGCTTTTTAAATTTCTCCAAATATCTAGCTGCTTCTTTCTTCAATTCTTCTATTCAGGGTATATTACTTCTCTTTCAAATTAATCCTTAACACTTTTTGAAGTCTTTCATCATTATCCATTTCTTTAAAGATGTTGAGTCAAACAGATAAGAAAGTAGCATATTTGGAAGCTCTGAAAAAAATTCTTCTGCATGAGTTGCTTATCATTGCCCTGAGAGTATGTTTTCTACATTCAAAAAATATAAGCACACAGGAAACAGACAGTAAAACTTAAGTACCTACAAATTTCAAACATAATAATCATTATAAAGGCTTACAAATGAGTATTCCGATTGACTCAGAAATCTCTAAAAATAGGACGCTGATCTGATTAACCTATGAACCTAAACACCTACAGTTACAGATACTTAATGCTTCAGTATTTTAAAGTAAATGGTAACAGGTAAAGTAAAAAAAAGAAGGTCATCATGCTTTGTCATTTTTTTGTTGGCAGGCGCACATGTTGCACTAGGTAAAAGGAGCTAGAATGAACAGGCCTTAGGCATGTGGTGGGAGGTGCTGGGGAGCACACGCCTGTGAGCAGGCTCAACCTTCTAGACAGCCTGTGTCTTTGGACTGTGAACTGCACCAGTGCCTCCCATCCCCACACCTTCAGTTGGCCAGGATGGCCAGCAGAAGCTGCAGCTGATTATCCCCCTTCCCCAATGCTGAAAGCTAGAGCCAGCTGGAGCTAGGCATCTCCCTCGCTCCGGGGAGGCGGGGTAGTGATAAACCCCTTGCAGGAGAGGCTCCAGTAAAGCAATTTCTCCAGAGGGCAGGTCTTGTCAAGAACAGAAGGCTCTGATGGAATTCAGTATGGTTCCTTCCCCTGAACCTACAAGAAGCATGAGGGGAGTTTTCCCTGATGTTCACCATGAAGATCTGGTGGGGCTCCTAGAGGTAAAGTTCACAGAAGTGTGAAAGCCCGCTATGACTGGGTGCGCATCGAGTTTTTAAGTCTCTCTGGCTGGTCCACACTTAGCCCCCGTAATTCATCATCAAAGTTTCGGTCAACAACAAACTGTATACGCACAGTCCCATAAGATCATAATCATAATACCATATTTTTACAGTACCTTTTCTATATCTAGCTATGTTTAGATACAAAAACACCATTGTGTTACAATTGCTACAGTATTCAGTGCAGCAATGCTGTACAGCTTTGCGGCCTAGGAGCAACAGGCTGTATCATAGAGCATAGAGGTGTAGTTGGCTACACAGTCTAGGTATGTGTGAGCACCTCTATGATGTCTGCACAATGAAACTGCCCAGTGATGTGTTTCTCAGGACTCATCCATGATGTGAAGCGATGCACGACTGTAGTTCTTGGCATTCACCTGTTTCGCCAGTTTTTGGTGCAGCTGTTTGCCCCTTTGACCTCATTTCTCTCATGGAGCTAAGAAGAGCTGCTGAGTTTTCACTCTGTTAAGCTTTTTACTTGCTAGGATGCAATGGTGACTTGTAAACTCCTTAAATGCTAGACTGGAAAACTGAAGTGTCTCTTTAATTTATCTTGCTTTTCCTTTGCATTTTTTCCTTGATAGTTTCATTTAGTCACTTATTTATTAAGCAAACATTTATTACACCCTTCCTAGACACGAGGACACTTTGCCCCCATGCTCTCTGTGAGGTCAGCTCCTTCTTTGGCTCCTTGCGCTTTGGTCTCATTTCTTAAATGATTTTTTATCTTTTCCTTAAATTTCTTTTCTTGGTCTATCAATTCTTATTTCACGTGCTCTTACCGTCTAGCCATCTCTGCTCTGAGTGTCTTTACCTCTGCGTTGTGAACTCACTGCTTAACTAAGTTACAAAATGAATGCTGAAAGTACCACCAATTTTTCTCCACTTTGTAGTGACATCTTCCTGGTGCGGTTTTCTCCCTCCATTGAGAACTTTTTATTTTTATTTTTCTTCCTTATATTATGGATAAAATAATTATATTTTTTTCTTAAGATTGAATTTTTCTATATCAACTATTAATAGGACAAATCCCTGGAAGGGGAAAATGGTTAGGGTAGCTTTCCCAACTTTTATCCCAACGGTGTCCTCTTGCTAAGTGATGAACAGTGTATGGAATACACGAGGAGTCTGGTGGCCAGATCTCCTGACTCTCAAACCCTTTCTTGTATCAGGAGTGCCCATTGCTGCTGCTTCCTTCCTTCTCTACACCATCAGCGGGGGCCAGCAAGAACGCCGCTCCACCTTGCAAGCTAAACCTGCTTCTCTGCAAGCCATGCCTGTTCTACAGCTCTCCAACTCCATTCCCTGTGCACTTTCCACACATTTATTCCCAGCTTCTCCTGGCACTGTCTTCCCACTTTGCACTCGGATGTGCCCACAGAAGTTCCCACTGAGGCTGTGGCCCACCCTGCCTGGAATAGCTATTTGTTGTTTCTGGGAGGGTGGGTGGGGTCGGGGTGATTCGGCCATGCCTGGACCCTGGGCTTTCTCGCCTGCACACCATGGCTCTCCACACTTATTCTGGATGCTGCTTGTTTTTACCCAACATGACTTGTGTATTTTCTGTCTCAAAGTTTTGCTAAAGGGATAAGTTGTGGGTGCTTCATTCATTCTTCTTCTTCTTTTGTTGAGACAGGGTCTCACTCTGTCACCCAGGCTGGAGTGCAGCAGTGCACTCATGGCTCACTGCAGCCTCGACCTCCTGGGCTTGAGCCATCCTCCTGCCTCAGCCTCCTGAGTAGTTGGGACTACAGGTGTTTACCACTGTGCCCAGCTAATTTTAGAGATGGGGTCTTGTTATGTTGCCCAGGCTAGTCTCAAACTCCTGGCCTCAAACCATCCTCCCACCTCCATCTCCCAAAGTGCTGGGATTACAGGTGTTAGTCACTGTGCCCAGCCGCCTTCTTATATTGTACACACAATTTAGGGAGGTATGGGTCTAGGTGGATTCCATACATCTACCTGAACCTCTAAACCCTATTAATTTAAATCACTGAAACAAAATAGTTCCATGATGATTCCCAAAGACAGCAACAGCTAGGGATTTTTTAAGCAATACTGATTTCTGGAACCCACCTCTAGAGTTCCTAATGTAACTGTTCTGGGCTGGAGGCTGAGAACTGTAGTTTCTTACAAAGCTCTCTTGGTAATTGTGATGCACGGCCAGTTTAGAACCTAACAATCAGGGGTTTAGAAACCCTTTTTCAACAAGCAAAATAGTTGTAAGTAAAAGATTTTTAGGGGAAACCTGTGCGACTAATAGCTATGCTATTTTCCTTCCAAAATATCCTTATTCTTTGTATTTTACTTCAGGTTAACCACAATTATCTAATTTTATTACATTTAAGACATCTTTGGCCCTGTAACTGAACTGGCTCCATGTCTGTCTGGGTTCATAAGTTTGAAGTTTGACATATGTAATGTCACTATGTAAATGCTGCATGCATAACAGGCAAATAAGCATCACAAAAATGAATGTAAATATAAATACAAATACAATGTTCATAAAAATGAACGTAAATATAAATACAAACACAATATTATCAGGGCCCCACGTTTGGTTCATGGTGGCTCTCATATGTATACCTCTGTCTATGCTGGGTTTTTTTTTTTTGGTTTTTTGTTTGTTTCTTTCTTTTTGAGACAGGGTCTCACTCCTATTGCCCAGATGTGTAATGATGTGATCTCAGCTCACTACAACCTCCACCTCTGGGCTCAAACAATTCTACTGCTTCAGCCTTCCCAATAGCTGGGACTATAGGCACATGCCACCACGCCCAGCTAATTTTTGTATTTTTAGTAGAGACAGCTTTTTGCCATGTTGCCCAGGCTAGTCTCAAACTCCTGACCTCAAGTGATCTGCCATCTTTGGTCTCCCAAAGTGCTTTGGATTACAGGCTTGAGCCACTGCTGCTGGCCTATGCTGTTTATTAATTAAGCTATAAGAATTCAGCAAGAAATCACTCTAAATGTGTATATAAATTGTCATTAGGAATTTAGTCAGACTTCAGTCTAATCCCTGAGAACAAGGTCATCTTTTATATCCTTCATATTCTTTGTATTCCCTAAATAATTATTAGAATGTTCTGAATACTGGGTAAAATAACAAGAATGCAAAGATTAGTTAAGGCAAGTTAATTTTTTAATTACATTTTTTGATGTGAAGTATATTATTGGTTGTTTAACTGTTATCATTAAAATAAAAATAAAACATTTATGTGCACAAATGAGTCAAATAAGTACAGGCAGTAGGGTAGATAGTTTATATCACAGAACAGAGAGACCACTCACCACAGCCTGTCACAATGAGCAGAGCAGCAAAGAATCCTTTAAAACCGACCCTAGGGCAAGTTTGCTCTTAATAATTACACATTTTCATAGACAGCTATATATTAGGTTAAATAAATGATGTTATTAAAAAAAGACACACTAGATATTAAAGTTCAAACTTCAGGGAGAAAGCATTTCTTTAGAAATAAAATTCCAAATCATCTCATCATTGAAGACATAGAGCAAGACTTCAATTAAAAGGTATAAAATCAGCCAAGCATGGTGGCTCACACCTGTAATCCCAGCACTTTGGGAGGCTGAGGCAGGAGGGTCGCTTGAGCCCAGGAATTTGAGACCAGCCTCGGCAACATAGTGAGACTCTGTCTTTACAAAATAATAAAAAAATTAGCCAGGTGTGGTGGCACGTGCCTGTGGTCCCAGCTACGCGGGAGGCTGAGGCAGGAGGATGGTTTGAGCCCAGGAGGTCAAGGCTGAAGAGAGCTGTGATTGTACCACTGTACTTTAGCCCGGGCAACAGAGTGAGACTCTGTCTCAAAAAAAAAAAAAAGTATAAAATCTTTATAATTTTATTTTCTTTTGTTTTTGAGACGGAGTCTCACTCTGTGGCCCAGGCTAGAGTGCACTGGCACAATCTTGGCTCACTGCAACCTCCGCTTCCCGGGTTCAAGCAATTCTCCTGCCTCAGCCTCCCAAGTAGCTGGGATTACAGGCGCCCGACACCACACCCGGCTAATTTTTGTATTTTTAGTAGAGACGGGGTTTCACCATGTTGGTCAAGCTAGTCTCGAACTCCTGACCTCAGGTGATCCACCTGCCTCGGCTTCCCAAAGTTCTGAGATTACAGGCACCAGCCACTGTGCCTGGCCAAATCTTTAGCATTTTAAAAGAGAAGAAAATTTCAAAGTCAAGTCTTACATCTCATAATCTAAGAATAAAATGTATCAGTCTCACCTGTCCAGCCAGTATAAGCAGAGCAGTCATGGGGATCAGCTGTCTTCAGCCCTTCTTCCATTTGCTGCAGAAGATCTTTAATTTTGGTCTGGATCCGTCTTATTAAATTATGAATGATCTGAGATCCAAAAGAAGAGATAACTTTAACTGCACAAGAATGGGACAATGTTGTAATAAACACTTTAAAGTCTAAATTGTACAAATATAACAGACAGCAGTTACTTTCCTTGGACCATCTCAGTGTATCGTTGGTTGGAGTCCATCTTGGTTTTTATAAGGTTACGTTTTTTTAATGAGATAATACCCTATTTAGACTATAACTCATAAGTAGAATCACAAAAAACAACTAGCAGAAATCAAAGAATTTTAAAAAAAACAGAAAAGAAAAAAATGGATGGATTTAACTACACAAACATTTCAACTTCTGTAAGATAAAGAACAAAAGAAAGATGGTTTAAAAGTTAATGACAAAGGGGAAATACATGGAATATAAGATATAAATCAACAATAAACATAATACATAACTAAACTCCATATTATTAACATCCTCATACAAAAGAAAAAACAAATGATAAGCATACATAAAACAAGTTCGATCACTCAGTGATTAATGAAATGCAAATAAAAACAAGTACTATGGATTTATCAGATTAAAAAATAGTATTATATAAAAAGAATTAAGTCCCAAGACTAAGAGCAAACAAAACAGGTATTCTTATTCACTGCTGGCAGTCTTTCCCAAGAGAAATATGCAATATTCTTCAATAATGTAGCTGACAGTGTTGTTAAGATCTTTCCTACCTTTGCTGTTTTTTTTTTTTTTTGCACGACAGTTTCGCTCTGTCACTCAGGCTGGAGTGCAGTGGTGTGATCTCAGCTCACTGCAACCTCCGCCTCCTGGGTTCAAGCGATTCTTTTGCCTCAGCCTCTTAAGTAGCTGGGACTATAGGCGCTTGCCACCATGCCTGGCTAATTTTTGTATTTTTAGGAGAGATGGGGTGAGACAGAGTTTCGCTCGTCGCTCAGACTGGAGTGCAATGGTAAGATCTTGGCTCACTGCAATCTCTGCCTCCTGGGTTCAAGTGATTCTCCTGCCTCGGCCACCTGAGTAGCTGGGATTACAAGCACCCGTCACCACACCCGACTAATTTTTGTATTTTTAGTAGAGATGGGGTTTCACCATGTTGGCCAGGCTGGTCTTAAACACCTGACCTCAAGTGATCCACCCACCTCCCAAAGTGCTGGGATTATAGGAATGAGCCACCGTGCCTGGCCCACCTCTGCTGATTTTTAAAAATCTACTTGCTCTATCAATTAGTCAGAAACCTCCCATTATGACCATGGAATTGTTTATTTCTCCCTTTAACTCTCTCTCTCTTTTTGCTTTCATATATTTTGAAGTTCTGTTATCAGGCATAGACAAATTAATGACTAGTATGTCTTCCTGACAAACTGACTCATTTTCATAATGAAATGTCCTTCTGTGAGATTGTAAAGAAAATACTTGTAGGTTCTGCTTTAAGAATTAAGGCTTTGAGGGCAAATTCTACTGAAATTTGGTATTCTGGACTAAAAGTAAACCTTAGGAACTAAGGTGTGCAGAGTGTGAACCCCAGAGAGGTTTCCTCAACCCTGGATGTGCATGTTTACATTTCAAAGTGCATGAGGCCCCAGAACCAGGAGACATTTCTGGCTTGTAAAACTGAAGACAATGGGCTCATCTTTTCCATACAGATATTTATGTACATTCTGAAAAGATTAAAGAAAGATGCTGCTAATGAGACTCTCAGAAAGGGAAGGGGAGACAATTGCCTTTTCCCCTTTTATAAAAAGCACAGAAAATTTACTTTCCTTCTTTCCTTATCTACAATACTGGCTTTGCCAATGAAGGTCATCACACCCTACCTGCACTGCATTGTACCACAGATAAGAACTGGGACCTGGGAACTGCCCACTGGTTATTTGTAGTCAGGTAAACAGGAAGAAATTCCTGATTCAAAAACCTTTTGCTATAGTCAGGACAAAATTAATTAACATAAGTATCAAAACCCTCTTTACCTGCTCGACCTAAGAGCTATTTTATGGGACATTTTACACATAGTCACTAAGTTTTCAGATGCCCACTGCTTGCTTACTTGGCCATCCATTCACTTTCAACCTTTGTCTTGATATTATAAGTCGATCTCTTGTGTAGCACACAGTTAGGTTTTCATTAATTTATCCTGATAGTCTTAGAGTCCCTCAGCGGACATGAGCAGAACCCTCTTCATTGGGAGGATGCCCTAAGAGAAAGTGCGGTTCAGTCAGCCCTGAGTGGCACCTTTTCCAGTCCCACTGTGGGACAAACCCCATCTGTTCCTGCAGACTCACCTCTAGGCTGTATTTTTTAAAAACTGGAATGAATTCAACCCCCAGATCCTCAAAAACAAACATCTAACTTTCTTGTGTAACACAGCATGGCTCCTATGCAGAAAAACATCAAATTTGTTTCCTTAGTCTTTTATAAGCAAAAGCAGAATAAGGAGGACAGGGCAAAAAAAAAAAAAAAAAGAAAAGAAAAGAAAGAGAGAAGGAAAAGAATAGAAAAGAAAGACAAAAGAAAAACAGAAACAAGAGGCAGGCTCAACTGTTGGCTGTTTTAAAGCCCCCAGCCCCCGCCAGGTTTCCCTAAGGATACTCCTCCAAATGACTGCTACCAGTGGAGACGGCCAGGCCACCCAAAGGCAAACTGCTCCCAGTGAGATAAATGGGAAAAGCCCCACTCAACTTGTACCCTCTGCTATCAGGGGAACCCGCCCCCAATATTTCAATGTAGGTTCTATTTTCCCTAAGTGTTGGCCAGTCTGAGAAATAAAGAGAAAGAGTACGAAGAGAGGAATTTTACAGCTGGGCCTCTGGGGGTGATGTCACATATCGGTAGGACCGTGATGCCCACCTGAGCCGCAAAAACAGCAGGTTTTTATTAAGGACTTCAAAAGGGGAGTGGGTGGACGAACAGGGAGTAGTTAACAAAGATCACATGCTTCAAAGGGCAAAAAAGGAGAACAAAGATCACATGCTTCTGAGGCCAATAAAGATCATAAGGCAAAGGGCAAAACAAAGATCAAAAGGCAAAGGGCAAAATCAAAAACTCCTGAGAAGGGTCTATGTTCAGTTGTGCATGTATTATCTTGATAAATATCTTAACAGAAAACAGGGTTTGAGAGCAGAGTACTGGTCTGACCTCAAATCCACCAGGGTGAGGTTTTCCCCCACCCTGATAAGCCTGAGGGTACTGCAGGAGACCAGGGCATATTTCAGTCCTTATCTCAACCACATACGACAGACACTCCCAGAGCGGCCGTTTCTAGACAAAGGTCTTAATTATTAATATTCCTTGCTAGGAAAAGAATTCAGTGATATCTTCCCTACTTGTATGTCCGTTTATAGGCTCTCAGCAAGAGGAAAAATATGGCTCTATTCTGCCCGACCCTGCAGGCAGTCAGACCTTATGGTTGTCTTCCCTTGTTCCCTGAAAATCGCTATTATTCTGTTCTTTTTCAAGGTACACTGATTTCATATTGTTCAAATACACATTTTACAATCAATTTGTACAACAGTGATCCTGAGGTGACATACATTCTCAGCTTACAAAGATTACAGGATTAAGAGATTAAAGTAAAGACAGGTATAAGAAATTATAAGAGTATTATTTGGGAACTGACAAATGTCCATGAAATCTTCATAGTTTATGTTCAGAGATTGCAGTAAAGACAGGCATAAGAAATTATTAGAGTATTATTTGGGAACTGATAAATATCCATGAAATCTTCACAATTTATGTTCTTCTGCCACAGCTCCAGCTGGTCCCTCCGTTTGGGGTCCCTGACTTTCCACAACACTCTGTCACAAGCTCAGCCACTGGAAATGAGGCCTGAGGACCAAAGGACTCCCAGGACGGAATTCCAGCCCCTGAAAGTCTTGAGCTGAAGGGGCTCTCTGCTCCAGTTGAAAACAGCTCACCTTAAGTGGTGACTTGAGAAGGTGGGAAAAATTCATCTCACACCATGTAGGTCCAGGGTGTCAAGGCTCTCCCTGACTGATGGAGATAAAGGATAAAGCAAAGTAGTAAAGGGGCTGGCCCCAACCTTGCAATAACGGGCTGGCTCACAAGCCCTCCTGTAAAGCTTAACTACTCTCCATTCTTTTTTTTTTTTTTTTTTAAACACAGTCTCTCTCTCTTGCCCAGGCTGGAATGCAGTGGCACCATCTTGGCTCACTGCAGCCTCTGCCTCACTGCAGCCTCTGCCTCCAGGGTAGTGGATTAGAAATTATGGTGTCGGAGTCATGAACCAGAGGCCACAAGATTCCAAACCTCCCCAATTGCTCCTTAGGATAACATCACTACTGTAAAACCTAAGAATGGTGCTCAAGATATATTTTCAGACCCTGCATTCTGCATTCTGATGCACCAGCTGGTGCCATCCAGACTGGTAATCGGGCTCAACCGGTTCTGTGATCCCACCCAGGAACAGAAGACAAGAAGAAGAACCCACTGTGACCCCCTAAGATTTCATCTAGGATCCAACCAATCAGCACTCCCACTCCCTTGCCCCCACCCACCAAATTATCCTTTAAAAACCCCAGTCCAGGTTTTCAGGGAGACTGGCTTGAGTAAAAAACTCCGGTCACCAGTTCAGCTGGCTTTGTGTGAATTACACTTTGTGTTGTGATTCCCGTCTTGATAAGGCAGCTCTGTGTGGGCAGCGCGCAAGCAGAACTCACAGGGCACTGACAGTCTTCTCATTCCCCTGCTAAGGCCATGCAGTAACTTTTAACTGTCATACACTGTATTTATCAGTTCTAAAATACCCATGAGACTCTTTTTAAATGGTTTTTACTTCCCTACTGAGATTTCCTCATTTTTCATGAATTGAAAGCATATTTTGTTTTATTTCATGGAGGAGAGTTACAGTAGTCAGTTTAAAATCGTTACATACTAGTTTCACTATCTGGTTCTTTTCAGGATTGGACCCAGTTAATGTTCTTTTCTTTTGAAAATGTGTCTTTTATGTAGAAAAGCAGAATATGCCACCTCAAAATCATGCATTTTTGACATAAGGATGAATTTGAGTTGAA